AGGACTAACTTCACAACAAGCTTTATTGTTTTTGGAATGATTTTGAAAAGAAATAAAGGTGTAGTAACATTTTGATTATTACCTCCCTTACATTTTAATGATAATTGAAAGAAAAAAATCAGACCTCTCAATCCATTTTATTACCATAATTGGTAAGAAAAATTGATATTGGTTGTCTTAAAAATTCTGAGTATTTTGAACTGTATTTGCCCTCATTTTATAGAGAAAAAAAATATCCATGATGTTTAAGATTTTGATATAAATGTCTTTTTTCACATTTTTGGTATAAAGAATCTTTTTAGAGGGGAATTGAAAACAACATAATTCTTTTTTCCTGTATGACTAAGGGGAATTCGAATGAGAACATTTGAGGTGTCAGTTTTCACTGGCATTATTTCCATTAATGGCATGAAACTGTGTAATTGTGATAATGGGGATGGCACACAGCTAATCAACTCTTGTGAACAATAGCCAAAATGATATCTGTATAAAAGGTATACCTGGCATCAAAGATAAAGGTTTAGTTGATAAGGCTGACTGCTTTAGAGTGAATTATGTCAAGAGGGTGGATGCTGGTTGAGAGCCCCTTACAAGAAACTATTCCCTTATATGGGAGTAGTATTCCACGTATGGATGAATTAGATGTTTGTTAAGATGCAGTAGTTGTTCAGAAGAAAAATACTGATGATACCTGAACAGCATTCCTAGCTTTTTGGAGGTAGTCTTGGCTATAATGAATATACAAGTTTGCTATGAATGATTAGATGTAACAATCCCCAAAATGTTTAAGCAGTTAAAGGGATCCAGAAGACTATTATTGAATGTAATATAGTACTTGGGAAGGAATAGGGGACAGGGGAAAATGGGGGAACTGAGTTTTTCTTGCACTGACATTGACAAGAGTATTTTCATCCCAGTTACTTCATCAGTTTATGAGTCAATAGATGCACAGAGAGTAGTACAAGTTTGGTGGCAATTTTAAAAGGAAGGTTAAGGTCTGAAAAAAGAAGAGGCATGCAGAGCTTTGTCATCTGTATAAGAGGGAGGGTACAGTGTATGGTACAGCTGAGAGAGTTATTGATAAAGAAAAGAAACAAAGTTGGAGAGAGAAAAGCTTCCTGAGGCATACCAATGGAAGTGGGGAATGGTCCAGATGCAGCACCTTGAAACAGATTTTGATAGAATGGTGTGAAAGAAAGCTGAAGACATTATTACAGGTGGAAAGCCAGTGAAAGGAAGTTTAGCCAAAAGAGCTTTGTTCCAGACTCTAACAAAGGCTTTAGAAATATCTCAAGCTATGACATAAGTTCCCCCCGAGTCTGTTAGCAATGAAGACCAGATTTGAGTTAAGTAGGAAAGGACATCACCAGTTGATCTTGCTTTACCAAACCCATATTTGTAATCCAATAGCAAAGAGGGAGACTAGATGTCAAAGGATGTGAACATTTAGAAGGATTTCAAAGACCTTGGAATACTTGGAGTTACGGAAACTGGACAGTAATGAAAAAGAATTGAATGGTCTTCTTTTTTAGGGATTAAATGGAAGTACAGTGAGAATAAATGATTCTGAAATTTTGTGAGTGGTTGAATAGTTAGAGATACTTTACCTTTTTCTCTTCCACACTTTCAGATACTTTTGTCTGATGCAGAAGCAGTATGGAAAGAAATGAAGCAGTGTTCCCCTACACAGAAGATAGCCATGTCACAAGTAATAACCTTTTCATTTGAAAACTTTTCCATCTGTTGTATACAGAGTATGAGGAATAGGCCCTGAATCATTTCAGTTTACACTGACAAGAGCCCATACTTACTTAACAGGATGGTCAGCTGAAGTGTTGGCAGCTGAGCAAACCGAGAATTCAAGGGTATGACGTTATCATGATTGACGAGGGCCAGGACATGAACACAGCCATGTTTGATATTTTTCTCAGACAGAAGTGTGCCAAAGTAAGTCAAGTACTGCCCTTGTTAAAAACATCATTGAAATCTGTATTGCTGGAGATGTGGATCATTTTCTTTTATGTGTTTTAAGAAAAAGGGAAGAGTAGTTCTTGATTGATTTACATTCAACTATTGTTTCGTTTATAAAATCGTTTAGTTAACATTATGAGTTTACTTAAATGAAACTGAAACATACAATATTAAGGGAGGTGTATTAATCAGTTGCCAGAAAATTATGGGTATATGTGTATGTTGACACGCAAGTCATCAACTTTGTATTGCATTGTGTATTCCAGGTAATTGTAGGCGATCCTCATCAACAGATTTACTCCTTCAGAGGGGCAGTTAATGCCCTTCAGATGGTCCCAGCCACACACACATATTACCTCACACAGTCCTTTAGATTTGGGCCTGAAATATCATATATAGCAAATTCTTCACTAGAGGTTCTCAAGAATGTGCAAAAGCAGACACTTGTTGGTGGCAGAAAGCAAGACTTTGTGTATGTCAGCAGTAAAAGTAAGCCAGTTACTTCATCTGGTAAAAAACTTAGTACAGCCTACTTGGCAAGGATGAATCTTACCATATACAAACTTTCCATTTCTATGTGTCTGGATGACAAGTATTCTAATATGTCTATGAGTTTCGCTGGAGGATTAGCCAAGTATGGGTTCGATACGGTCTTAGACATCTATAAACTTTGGCAAATTCAGCAAGGATTTGGAACAGCAGAATCCTTGGGCATCAAGAACAAACTTATTGCAAAATTCCACTCTGTTTTCAGTCTTAGAAAATTTGCCGATAACATTGATGACCATGATTTGTCCAACAAGATCAGAATGTTTGATTACAGCGGAACCAAAACTCCTCATCACCTCCAGCTGTTGAACAGAAGATGTAATGGAGATTCAGCGAGATCTGATATTGTTTTTAGCACCATTCACAAATCTAAAGGACTGGAGTTCGACTGGGTCATTATGTTAGATGATCTCGTTCCTGTGAACTTGCCATATCAAAATTTGAAGTATGAAGGAGATGAGCACAACTTAATGTATGTGGCAGTCACACGAGCAAAATTGTGGCTAACCATTAACTCTGCAGTTTTGTACACCTTAACTGCAGCTAGAGAAAAATTTGAAGTAATAACAGGAAGGCAGGAGGTCCATCCAAAGCACAAATGCACCCAGTGTGGCGAGAAGGACATTGCCAACTCAAAAGCACCTCTAGTAACAAAGGTGAGGTTCTAGTTTAAGGACAAGATTCTTCTCTCTCTCTCTCTCTCTCTCTCTCTCTCTCTCTCTCTCTCTCTCTCTCTCTCTCTCTCTCTCTCTCTCTCTCTCTCTCTCTCTCTCTCTCTCTCTCTCTCTCTCTCTTTTTCTCTCTCTCTCTCTCTCTCTTTTTCTCTCTCTCTCTTTTTTTCTCTCTCTCTCTTTTTCTCTCTCTCTCTCTCTCTCTCTCTCTCTCTCTCTCTCTCTCTCTCTCTCTCTCTCTCTCTCTCTCTCTCTCTCTCTCTCTCTCTTTTCTTTTCTCTCCATCTCTCTCTCTATCTGTCTATCTCCATCTTTGCCTACCCCCCCTCCCTCTCTCTCTCTCTCTCTCTCTCTCTCTCTCTCTCTCTCTCTCTCTCTCTCTCTCTCTCTCTCTCTCTCTCTCTCTCTCTCTCTCTCTCTCTCTCTCTTTTCTTTTCTCTCCATCTCTCTCTCTATCTGTCTATCTCCATCTTTGCCTACCCCCCCTCCCTCTCTCTCTCTCTCTCTCTCTCTCTCTCTCTCTCTCTCTCTCTCTCTCTCTCTCTCTCTCTCTCTCTCTCTCTCTCTCTCTCTCTCTCTCTTTTTCTCTCTCTCTCTCTTTTTTCTCTCTTTCTTTTTTCTCTCTCTCTCTCTTTTCTCTCTCTTTTTCTCTCTCTCTTTTTTTCTCTCTCTCTTTTTTTCTCTCTCTTTTTCTCTCTCTCTCTTTTTCTCTCTCTCTCTTTTTCTCTCTCTCTCTTTTTTTCTCTCTCTCTCTCTCTCTCTCTCTCTCTCTCTCTCTCTCTCTCTCTCTCTCATTTTTTATATTTACAATGGCACTGATACGGTTATTAATATTAATGTTAATGTTAATGTTAATAGCTATAGGAATTGGAATATTGATATTGACATTAAATACCATTAGCATATGTCTTATTTAGGTGGTTGAAAGATATATATTTTTTTTTTACAAAAATAATTGCAACTCAAGGATTTTATTTGTTATCTATTATTGTTATTATTATTACCATTATTATTATTACCTTTATTATTAGTATTATTACCTACAGCTAAGGATATTCTAAACCAGTTTTCCCGTTATGTCACTGCCAGTTTACTTAATGGGTATTTATATATCAAGGAAGAGAAAACTAAGGCAAATATTTACAAAAAAAAAAAGTTGGAATTTAGAGGTAGCTATCTCTGTGAAAACTGCTGCAAAAGAAATATAATTAATGTCCATATTTTCAGGTTATGACTGTCCCAATAGGTAACCAGGGAGAAAAATTTAAAGGCGGCTATCTCTGTGAAAACTGCGCCACCTTCAATAAGTACGTCCCGCCGATGACAATTGGGTATGTAATATTGCTGACAGATTTTTTGTCATTGTTGTTTACATTTATACTCGTATCTTCTAAAATAAGTATATTGGAGGTATGCTTGGTGAATTTGTCTTTCCTACATTGATTATACTAATCACTGAATATAATAAACTTTGTTCTTGATCAATAGATATTTATACTCATATATCTATTTATTTTTATTTCTCATTCTCTCCTCTTTCTTTTATTGTATTGTTGTTTGTTACCATTATCATCATCATTAACTCTTCTAACTACAATTACTACTTTTGCAGTGAAGTAAGTGATTTTAAGACTTCCGTTTATTTTGCAATCAGGCATGAATATGGCATTATTAAACTATTGAAGGACAGCTCCAGGTTATGTAGAAGGGTTCTACTGACAGGGAAAAAGGAATTCATAGACGTGCCAGAAAATAGACACATGCATTTGGTAAGTGATGACTGAACCTTCTTGCAAATAATGGTAATAATAATGATTAAAAAAAAAAAAAAAAAAAAAATCACTGAGAGAAAAATAATGAGATGAAATCAATAATAAAGTTTTGTCACAGCCTACAGTTCAGATTTTGACGAGGGCCAGGACATTTGAAGTATGAAGGAGATGAGCACAACTTAATGTATTTTAGTTATGTGTTTCTTTCATTTTCCGTTTAAAACCAGGGATGGCAACAGTATCACAGACAAACAGAAGCAGACTCCAACACTGATGAAGAATTCCCAGACGACATTGACTTTGAGGACCCAGCTCTCCTTGTCTTAGAGGAGGAGGCAGTACAGATAGAGCAAGAGGAGGACGCAGTACAGATAGAGCAAGAGGAGGACATCAATGAGGTGGTTCCAAGAAGAGTTATAGAGCCTGAAGTTATTGAGATTGATGGTATAGAGCCTGAAGTTATTCAGATTGATTGATTTTGCAAAAGGAAGATTCGTTCTGTGATTTGTTGAAAGGAACCAATGAATAGTGGTGATAGCAGATGTATTTTTGTATGAATTTTGTATTTTGGGAGATAGTGTTATATGCAATATTGATTCCAGATAGAGAGGTGCACTAGTTTTTTTTAGATGTTAGAGTCTTGTCTACCAGATGAAGGTCGAGTAGAAATTTAAAGAAGAAATTGGCAAGGATCCAGTTACAAGTGGAAAAGCAAGATTTCAAAACATTTTTAAAAATAGTGAATTTTTTTTTTAAATTTCTGCCCCCCAAAAATTCTAGATGTACTGTTCTAGATATATCAAATAGAAGACACTCTTCACTAGCAAGATGGTCTACTGCTCTTTATGCCTGGTAATTGTGGCAGGTATGGAACTGCACCAGCTGTCAGTCTGGCACTAGAACCTTTAAATATGTCACTCACTCCCAGAAAAAAAGAGTTAGAGATTTTTAAAAATGCCATGACACTTTCCCAAATTATCTTTAAGTGAATAGATGAAATCTCATTATCTGTATACTGTAATTGCAGCCTCCACCACTTTAACCCAATAACCACATATTTTTGTAATATCCCCATGTAGTTTCTTGTGAATTTTGTAACATTCAGATGGCTCCACCTGTCCTCAGCCAGCAAGAAGTCTAGCAGGAGGACCAACTCACCAATCCTGATTTCCCCATTCCTTGAACTGCTGGGAAAATGTGTTTTTCTTTCTCATACTGCTGATACCAATACTGTTATTATTCTTATTGATTTTATGATTCTTAAATTGTTATTAAATTCTTGGTAATATTAAAGACTATGAATAGTACAAAAGACACTTCACAAAAATCAAGGAAAAGGGTAAACAGGTGATATATGTAGCACTGATAACTGACTCCTTGTTGATTAAGCATTTGTAGAGCCATCTATGTGTAAAGACAATAAATTAACTTATGTTACAGTAGGCATGGCATGTATTCTTGTCATCCGTGGCAATTGCATTAATATATATTAAGCATCCGTTTTGGAAAAAAAGGGCTTGCATTGATTTCTGCTTTTTGTCCCACTTATTTTGATTAGGTCTTTATGTAACAAATAGGTCTTTAGGGATCTGTACTTTCATATTATTAGTTTTTTTATTTTGTTTTTTCATACTTTTATGAAGGAACATAAGTACTGACCATGATGTTTCTTAAAGTGATTAGAGCAGTCCTTTCTTCAAAAACTAGGCCGTGAGTATGAATTTTAAGACGAAAAGTAAGGTGTTTTACCCTTGTCATTGTGTACGTTTTAACACATACATGATACCAGCTCATGCAGGACTGAAGAAATGTATGAAGCTGCCCACACCTCCCATCACACTTTCTCTGTTTAGAGCCCTGTTCTGCTCAACGAGAGTGTCGCAGCTACCCCATACCACACACAGCTGTAGAGCAACCAGGAGCAGCTTTCACATTTTGACAGCTCTTAGAAGCACAGCCACTAGGCCACCAGCACACCCATGTCATTATAGTTGTGGTTGTGGATAGTATGGATTTTCCACAGGACTATCTCATGCTCATACTGCTCTGTCCATTCCATAAATGGTGCTGTAGTCAGTGCATGAATTACATGTAATAATAAGTGTTATCTAGTGTTATATACTGGTTTTCTCTGTGTAGTATATATGTTTCCATCCCTGGTCCTTTTCCACCCAACTTGAGGCTAGTGACACTGCCAGTCCTTGAGAACTGTTAGATGATTTAGTGAACTAATTTATTCCATATCTTACCCTACAATGTATATTTCTTGAGTATTTTATCCACAATTTACCTTGTGACCTTCATACTTGCCCCTCCTATCAGAGCTTTATGTTTATGGGGGTAAGGGGAAGGTTCCTTGACATGATTCTTACATACATATATAGTAAAGGGCAAGAGTCATCCATTGTTAAGAATATCTTCATCATTAGATTTACAAAGGTCTTTTGAACATTAACCCTGGTATGCAAGGGTCAATGTCAGTGCTTAATGGTACTAGCCATTCTATTACATGCATACAGTACATTTTCTCCTCTTATGTGTGAGTACATACAGTCACACAGATTAATAGATAAAGAAATGACCTTTACATGCCATGAAGTAGGTTTCAAAAGCAGGATCACAATATTGGCCTGGATTCATATAACATTAAATAACCAGTCTTCCTATATATGGCCTCATGAACATAAAGTAGAATTACACAAAACTATGAAATGTATACGCAAGTAGTGGAATAGCGTGGGAATAACATTGCATGCTCAAATATATTATAATATTTACAAAATGTTACTTTCAGTATTTTATCAGGCAGATCATAATAATAACTGCGCATAGTGACAGAGATCACTACATTTGGTTCATCCCAGTGACAACCAACACCCAATGCAGTTCCATACCTATCAGTGTTACCAAATGTGGAGACTTATAACTTATGGATCAGTGGTGGTTTTATCTGATATGTTTAGGAATGTAAACACATAAAGCTTTTATGTATTAGAATTTTGTCTGTCCCAAAAGACCACAGTACACTTAACCCTACCTTATCCCAGAGCTGGTGGGTGTAATAATCTCTGTTGAGTTGGTATAGAAGGAGGATTAGGTGGAAAAAAAGAAGCCACACAGACATAGCAAAATAGAATTGGGTTTCCAGGTTTCAAAAGCCGAGGCTATAATGAGGTGATGTCGCTTTAAAGTGTAATTTATTAATATGCTCAATCGAAGTGGCTCTAATTTTTGGGATTGATGTTTAAAAAGTGATCTCCAGACAGGGCTGTGTTGTCTCTTCATATCATTTGTTAATTATTCTTGTAAGATATTTTATATATAGCTTAAATAATGTATTGTTACTTTTTATGGTGTTAAGTCATCCATGTGCATTTTTGGTCAAACATTTTATAAAGATAATTGTTCCTATGTACCATCCTTATTAAAGTTTTCAATGCAGTTATCCCTATAATGACAGTGCCAGAAATTTCAGTGCCACTCATTCCAGTGACTTCTGAACTCCCTGCTTGACTTGGTTTAGTGAGTCATGATGCCTGTAGCCATACCCACCATGATGAGTTGGTTTTTCATGATGGTATAGGCCTACCCAGCTATAAGAAGTTAAACAGTGTATTGTGTTTTATACTTTTATAGAAAAACTCACAAAGATCAATGTGAATAATTATTGTATAGACAAATTTGAAATATTGTTAAACTTCATCTTTCAGGATTCATAAATATGCACATATAAATACTCTTTTTCTTATCCTATTTTATGTACACATATATTCTTGTGCACATGTGCCCCTGCACTGGTTAGCAAGCCCAGTCTGACAATCGTGGAGGCTGGCTGGATTCTGTTTATCTTCACACCTTGAGTATTGGTATTCTCCTCTTTAGAAGGATCCACCCCTCAGGGCCCTTAGTTTCCCTTCATGGATACCCTGATAGGTGGACCTTTCTCTTTCCTACATACTTCTGGCTTACTATGACCAATAATGAAAATTCTGTAACCTTATCAGTAGCCTTGAGGCTTACCTCTTTATCAACTAACCCACTGATTTTAACCCATTCGCCACATTTGGCAAGAATAGATGACATACCCACTTTGAGACACGTTTATTTATTGTATTTACACATAGATGGCTCCACAAGTTCTTAATCACCAAACAGCCAGTTATCAAGAACTACCTATTTCACCTGTTTACCCTTTTCCTTCACTTTTGGAAAGGATTTTTTTGTATTATTTCATTGTTTAAAATATTCTAGTGACAATATGGTAATCATAACATCAATAACAATAATAACAGTATCATTAGCAATGGTATTAATTTTCCCGCCATTGCAATGAATGGGAAAATCAGGGTCGGTAACTAGGGCCTACTGATAGACTCCTTGCTGGCTGAGTACATGTGGAGCCATCTGTATGTAACATAATTCACTAAAAACTACAGGGGACAGAACATAAATCTGTGGCGAATGGGTTAATCCTCCGGGTTCCTAAAACTCTGACTCTCCTTAGGTCACAACTCTGAACCCTCCTACTACTACCCCCTCCTTGAAACCAGCTGTCAGCTCAGTCCATTCCAAGACACCTTCTCTCCCAACATCCTCCACCTCATCTCCTTCACAGTCTTCTTCATTTACTACCCTCTCTTCCCTTGTTACTACTTTTCATTCCCACCTTAATCCCTTGCCCTTTTGTCGTGGGGGGGGGGGACCATAGGAGCACTGGAGTCCACCCCCCTACCTTGGGCCTCAGTCCTTGGCTCAACCAATTTTTTTTTCCTTTCCTTCTCTTCTCTAACCCCTTCTGTCTTCTTAAGGTGTGTGAACCATGCTGAAAGGATGAGAAGCTGGTGTTATGTCAGTCCTGAATGGCCTCAGGGAGCCATAGGCACAGTATTCCCTTGGTTAATAATCTAACCCTTACCCCTAATTTCAGGCTCATGGCCAATAATGAAGATTTTATTAGCTTTATTGAGGCTTGCCCCTTCATCAACTAGCCTATCTAAATTAGACTTCTCTCGTTTCCCAACCCCTGCCAGTCCCTTAATCACAGCTCCAACCACTGCTACTACTACCCCCTCCTTGATTCTTGCTGTCAACTTGCCCCATTCTCAATCATCCAGCCTTGTCATTATTTTACTTTCAGAATACATCACATCCTCCACTCCATTTCCTCCTCTTAAACAGTCTTCTTCATTTTCTGCCCCCTCCTCCGTTATTACTATTCACCCTTATTGTCCCCTCTGCAGAACTTCCTCTCTTACCACCACTCCGTCTTCCTCCCTTCGCTTTTGAGGACTCTTTCTAGTCCAGCCAAGTGGGATCGATTCTTTGTGATTCCCCCTACCGCTCTTTACTCTGACAGTACCTTCCTATTCCAACAATGTAGGCAAAGTTTCCTTCTGCAGTCGTCCTGATCGTTCACACCCTGTCACAGTTACATCTGAGTCGCAAGCTTGTACATTATCTACCCTGACTGACTTCACTGTCCAGCCTCACTCCTCCCTTAATACTTGCACTAGAATTGTTTCCATCTCCCCGGCTGATTTCCCTTCAGACTGTGAAAACGACGTGCTTGTCTGCAATACTTACTGATACAACAGCAGTACATTACTATACTATACCTCGAGGCTGCCGAAAGTCTCCACCAGTATTACCCAAGATTAGCTTCTGTAAGCATGACCTCCCTCATAAAGTTTATGTTGGCAGAGTGTCTTGCCCTGTCTGACCATATCGACCCTCTCCCGTCGATGTCAGAAATGTTGGCGTTTTGGCATCCTTTGCTCCACAGCCCACTACCCTGTATGTGCCCAACCTGTTCATAGTCATCTCAGCAATCAAGCACATGTGTCAATTGCAGTCGCTCCCATAATGCATTTTATAGAGGCTGCCCTACCTACGAGTTTGAATCTGAGGTAGCAGTCCTCAGATCCAACCTTGGCCTCACTTCCCTGTCTACCCCCCTTCTTCCAGTCAAATTCTCTTGACTTTCTAAATCCAGACAACCTCCTCCTTTCTAAATGTTCCATCCCACCATCTACCCGATCCTCTCTGACACCTACCATTTTCTCAACTCCTCAAGGTGCCTGCCCCCCCCCCACCCCCCCTCATAAGAAAACTTTCATTTCTCAGACGTCCCTTTTAACTCCCTTTCAGAAACTTTCTATTGAGCTCAATCCTAAATAGTCTTGATTTGTTGATAAAACTGGTAAAATTATGGCCACGAAACCAGAATCAAAAGGACTGGTGAATCGACAGATAGGTAATCTGATAGATAATCTGACCATTTATTTGGCACTTAATCTCGCTATTACTCTCTCCTGTTGCGCTATATATATTTTTTTCAATATTTTACGCATTGACTATTAAGTTGGAATGAGGTTAAAAACGTCTAATCATTTCTATGTGCATAAAAGTTCTATTAAACCGCAGACACTGATGCAAAAAAAAAAAAAAATCTCAGTTCGTTTTGTTAGCGCTTTTCACGTATGTTAGTGGCTTGGTGTAATGCCGACATATTTAGTGTTAAGATGTGTATTTTATATTGCATGTTGGTGTGCAATATCTTACGGCATATGGAATAATAAAACAATTCGGACAGGAAATCTTGAATACAAAAAAAAAAAAAAATGCAACTAAATAGCCTCTTTCGCCGGCATGTAGGTGTACGTGTGTGTGTATGTGTACTGGTGTGTGTGTGTATGTTTGGGTGTGGATATGTTTGTTTGTGTGTATGGGGATGGGTATGTTTGTTTGTGTGTGTTTGTGCATGTGTCTTGTTTGGGTGTGTGTATGTGTATGTACATGTGTATGTGTGTGTTTTTTTTGTGTGTAAAAATAATCGGTTTATTGATTCTCATGGAGCCAGGGGCTGAAAATATGTGCCTGTATGTGTGTGTGTATGTGTGTACAAATGTGTGTGCATGTGTGTGCATAAGTGTTTGTGTGCATGTGAGTATGTGTGTTTGTGTATGTTTGTATATGCTCGTGTGCGTTTGTATGTGCGTATGTTTGTGTGTGTGATTGTCTATATCTAGTGCGTTTGAGTATGAGTATGTATGAATGTGTATGTAAATGTGTATAATGTTTATAGTGGGTGTGTGCACGTTTCCATAGGCGCATATGCAAGCATAGGAATCGTTTGTTAAAGAGTGAATTATATATATGTGTGTGTGTGTGTGTGTGTGTGTGTGTGTGTGTGTGTGTGTGTGTGTGTGTGTGTGTGTGTGTGTGTTATTATGTGTATTATTATCATCATAACTATTGCTACAGGTATTACTTTGTAATACACGCCATTATCATGATTACTGTTATGATTATGATCATTAGTATTATGTTGCGTTATTATAGATATAATTTCATTACAAATATTATCACACCATTAGTGTTATTCTTATAGTCGCTATCATTAATAACATTATAATTACTGTTGTTATTGTTATTACTGTCATTATTATTGTTGATGTTAATGTCATCATCCTCATTAGCAATGATATTTATCATTATTATCTTTTGTTTCTCTAATCTTCATTAAAGTTATCATTATCATTAATGTTTGAATTATTTATATAACACATTCACCAGTAAACTCGAACGCATGTTTTCATTCACGTTATTATTATTTTCACATTTATTGTTCTTATTCTTATTTATGTTGTTGTTGTTGTTGTGTGCCTTATCCTGTCCTTCCTCTGCTCTCCCTTTCTTCCCCTCTTGCCTCTTCCCTCTTCTAAAAACAAATGCTTTCTCTGCTCCCTTTTTCTTCCCCAATTTCCTCTTCCCTCTTCTAAAAAACAAATCCTTTCTCTTCCTGTTTTCGTTTTTTTTTTTTTTTTTTTTTTTTTTTACTCTTATTTTTATTTTCCTGTTTTATCACTGCTTTCTCTCTTGTCGAACACAAGAAATAGCTTTTAAGGGGGGTTAAGACAATAGGTAACCATGGAAACACTGTGATAGATAGATAACAACTATACAATATTACATTCATAATTTCTCCGTCCATTCATTAGTACATCTTATCTACTGTGAATTAATCATGTTTTATTTTACTGAAATACTGACAGTTATTATGTACACGAGTGTGTGACCGCAACTGTACATTTAGTTTATATGTGTATGGTGTAGAAATACCTAAATCCTGCGCTCTTTTATCCATATTATCAATAAAACGAGCTTTAAAAATGATCTCTGAATAAACCAGGCCTGAGAGAATCACAAAGACCTCCAGGAGTTTTTTTTATTCCCTCTTTGTATCTGTTATCCCCTTGGCAGCTTTAGTTTTAGGCATTTCTGGTCTTTCTGGTCGTTCCTCTGGTCTTCCTATACGTGTACTCGAATCACAATTATTTCGAAGTTCATTGTGTTTCCAGATATTTTCATTTAAGAGTGCCTGTAACAAGTGGTACTCTGATCTTCGGCATCTGATTCGTATCGACTTTAAGCCAGTGGGGAGACGTTTGGGTGTGTTACATGCATACATATATAAAAAATAATGTGTGTGTGTGTTCATGCGTGTATGAAAATGAGGACCAATGTCATGGTGAGCGTTTTTATTTCACTAGTGCTACGAAATTGAAAAGATGCGACGTTTACAGCCAGCAAATTTCAAAAATACTTAACGAAGGTTACAAAATTTCAGTTATAAGTAAATGAAGGTAAGTGAAAATAAGAGTAATTTCATTAAAAAATGTATAACAAAAATAAAAAAAAAAGGAAACTCCAAGAATCTAATGGGCATCTCTCAACAGCCCGTGCTGTAAATAGTATTAACTATAAACAATTTACATTTTTAATGGCATGGGTGATAATGGCATGTGAAGATACACAGTTTTATTATCCTTGATTTTCCTTCATTTGATATATATTGCTTCTATCTTAGACGAAATCATTTTCTTCATCATCACGTGTACCGACTAGTTAGTTAACGTCATTAATGTCACTATTATCCTCACAGTCAAGTTAACTCATCGGAATCAATGCCATACGCCTAGAACACGTCTAATAAAAAGAAAACAACTCGAGAACTCCCACACTCAGTACCCGAGAGAATTCCTGACCTACGATTGTTTGGCAGTTGTCCTCGGTCATAGAGTTCGCGCCCACTACGCTTTGGTTCTTTATGTTTTCAAGAATTTCTCTTTCTCCATTTGTCCTCAAATCCCTGTGAAAAATTACTTTTTTACAAGTATTTGGGCCAACAAAGATAGTTACCATTACCTTGAAACCATGAATCTGTCGTCGCTTCCTAACTAGTATTGTTGGAGTTAAATTGCACTTTTACAAGAAGTTTATCATCTCGTAATTTGCGGACAAAATCAAAATCGCCGTCCACTTGACCATCGAGGACCCTCTTGCTACGTTCAAAAGCGGTTGATTTTCACTCACGCATCTGACAGCTAAATACCTTGCATTCTCCGGAGGGATCTGTCGTTTGTCAGTGATAGTGGTTCCATTAGTCAAAGTCGAGTTAGTCCTAGAGGTGTCATGGGTCCCCCCCCCCTTTGAGAAGAAGGGTTGGCCGGGGAATCAATCATACTGGGTTTCGGATCAAGTCCGAACCCTGAGCCATTGTCTTGAATGGACCAAAAACCCTTTTGTTAATCAATCTAACAGCAACAGCTAAGAGAGTGTGGCAGGTATGCATCCTCTACCCCCCCCCCCCAGGTCACAGGAAGGGAGGAAAGGAATTCAGTACAAAAGAAAAACTTCTCCCAAAAAACACCCCAAACTACTGGGTCACCATACCCAGGAGCCAACGCCCGTAAAAGCTACCCTGCTGCGGCTCTGAGGTGGGCTGCTGACTACACTTTCACTGTAGACTCGTGTAACCTGCAAAATCAAAGCACTGAAGCAAACCACTAGAAAGTGCTACAGTCTGCGAAAAGACTAATTTACTTTACGTAATTCCCGTTATGGAGCCCAGAAGTAATAATGCCGAGCCAAACATGAGACTTCGGACTCCAAGGGCACTGTGTCACTGTTTTACTTATTACTGCTGGGTTTTATCATTGAAGGTTCGAGCATAGAGGTATTGTTACTCAAGCGCT